ACAGAGTGAGGATGTGACAAGCTTACAGTGACAGAGTGAGGCTATGACAAGCTTACAGTGACAGAGTGAATCTATGACAAGCTTACAGTGACAGAGTGAGGCTGTGACAAGGTTACAATGACAGAGTGAGGCTATGTCAAGCTTACAGTGACAGAGTGAGGCTATGAGACAAACACAGTGACAGAGTAGGCTATGACAAGGTTACATCAACAGTGTGAGGCTATGGCAAGGTTACATCGACAGTGTGAGGCTATGATAAGGTTACATCGACAGTGTGAGGCTATGACAAGGTTACAGTGACAGAGTGAAGATGTGACAAGGTTACGTTTACAGAGTGAGGATGTGACAAGGTTACGTTTACAGAATGAGGCTATGACAAGGTTACATCGAGAGTGTGAGGATGTGACAAGGATACGTTTACAGAGTGAGGATGTGACAAGGTTACGTTTACAGAGTGAGGCTATGACAAGGTTACATGGACAGTGTGAGGCTATGACAAGCTTTCAGTGACAGAGTGAGGATGTGACAAGGTTACGTTTTACAGAGTGAGGATGTGACAAGGTTACGTTTACAGAGTGAGAGGCTATGACAAGGCTACATCGACAGTCTGAGGCTATGACAAGCTTACAGTGACAGAGTGAGGATGTGACAAGCTTACAGTGACAGAGTGAGGCTATGACAAGCTTACAGAGACAGAGTGAGTCTATGGCAAGGTTACATTGACAGAGTGAGGCTGTGACAAGGTTACAATGACAGAGTGAGAGGCTATGACAAGCTTGACAGTGACAGAGTGAGGCTATGACAAGCTTACAGTGACAGAGTGAGGCTATGACAAGGTTACAGTGACAGAGTGAGGCAATGACAAGGTTACAGTGACAGAGTGATTCTATGACAAGGTTACATCGACAGTGTGAGGCTATGACAAGCTTACAGTGACAGAGTGAGTCTATGACAAGCTTACAGTGACAGTGTGAGGCTATGACAAGGTTACATCGACAGTGTGAGGCTATGACAAGGTTACAGTGACAGAGTGAGTCTATGACAAGGTTACATCGACAGTGTGAGGCTATGGCAAGGTTACATCGACAGTGTGAGGCTATGATAAAGGTTACATCGACAGTGTGAGGCTATGACAAGGTTACAGTGACAGAGTGAGTCTATGACAAGGTTACATCGACAGTGTGAGGCTATGACAAGGTTACAGTGACAGTGTGAGGCTATGACAAGGTTACATCGACAGTGTGAGGCTATGACAAGGTTACAGTGACAGTGTGAGGCTATGACAAGGTTACATCGACAGTGTGAGGCTATCACAAGGTTACAGTGACAGAGTGAGGCTATGACAAGCTTACAGTGACAGAGTGAGGCTACGACAAGGTTACATCGACAGTGTGAGGCTATGACAAGCTTACAGTGACAGAGTGAGGATGTGACAAGCTTACAGTGACAGAGTGAGGCTATGACAAGCTTACAGTGACAGAGTGAGTCTATGACAAAGCTTACAGTGACAGAGTGAGGCTGTGACAAGGTTACAATGACAGAGTGAGGCTATGTCAAGCTTACAGTGACAGAGTGAGGCTATGACAAGCTTACAGTGACAGAGTGAGGCTATGACAAGGTTACATCAACAGTGTGAGGCTATGACAAGGTTACATTGACAGAGTGAAGATGTGACAAGGTTACGTTTACAGAGTGAGGATGTGACAAGGTTACGTTTACAGAGTGAGGCTATGACAAGGTTACATCGAGAGTGTGAGGATGTGACAAGGATACGTTTACAGAGTGAGGATGTGACAAGGTTACGTTTACAGAGTGAGGCTATGACAAGGTTACATGGACAGTGTGAGGCTATGACAAGCTTACAGTGACAGAGTGAGGATGTGACAAGGTAACGTTTACAGAGTGAGGATGTGACAAGGTTACGTTTACAGAGTGAGGCTATGACAAGCTTACAGTGACAAAGTGAGGCTATGACAAGCTTACAGGGACAGAGTGAGGCTATGACAAGGTTACATCAACAGTGTGAGGCTATGACAAGGTTACATTGACAGAGTGAAGATGTGACAAGGTTACTTTTACAGAGTGAGGATGTGACAAGGTTACGTTTACAGAGTGAGGTTATGACAAGGTTACATCGACAGTGTGAGGATGTGACAAGGTTACGTTTACAGAGTGAGGATGTGACTTGGTTACGTTTACAGAGTGAGGCTATGGACAAGGTTACATGGACAGTGTGAGGCTATGACAAGCTTACAGTGACAGAGTGAGGATGTGACAAGGTAACGTTTACAGAGTGAGGATGTGACAAGGTTACATCGACAGTCTGAGGCTATGACAAGCTTACAGTGACAGAGTGAGTCTATGACAAGGTTACATTGACAGAGCGAGGCTGTGACAAGGTTACAATGACAGAGTGAGGCTATGACAAAGCTTACAGTGACAGAGTGAGGCTATGACAAGCTTACAGTGACAGAGTGAGACTATGACAAGCTTACAGTGACAGAGTGAGGATGTGACAAAGTTACGTTTACAGAATGAGGATGTGACAAAGTTATGTTTACAAAGTGAGGATGTGACAAGGTTACGTTTACAGAGTGAGGCTGTGACAAGGTTACAGTGACAGTGTGAGGCTATGAAAAGGTTACATTGACAGAGTGAGCCTGTGACAAGGTTACGTTTACAGAGTGAGGAGGGTGACAAGGTCACGTTTACAGAGTGAGGCTATGACAAGCTTACATTGACAGAGTGAGACTATGACAAGCTTACAGTGAAGTGTGAGGCTATGACAAGGTTACATCGACAGTGTGAGGCTATGACAAGGTTACAGTGACATTGTGAGGCTATGACAAGCTTACAGTGACAGAGTGAGGTTATGGCAAGCTTACAGTGACAGAGTGAGTCTATGACAAGGTTACATTGACAGAGTGAGGCTATGACAAGGTTACATTGACAGTGTGAGGCTATGACAAGGGTTACAGTGACAGTGTGAGGCTATGACAAGCTTACAGTGACAGAGTAAGGCTATGATAAGGTTACATCGACAGTGTGAGGCTATGACAAGGTTACATCGACAGTGTGAGGCTATGACAAGGTTACAGTGACAGTGTGAGGCTATGAGAAGCTTACAGTGACAGAGTGAGGCTATGACAAGCTTACAGTGACAGAGTGAGGCTATGACAAGCTTACAGTGAGAGAGTGAGTCCATGACAAGGTTACATTGACAGAGTGAGGCTATGACAAGCTTACAGTGACAGAGTGAGGCTATGACAAGCTTGCAGTGACAGAGAGTGAGGCTATGACAAGGTTACAGTGACAGAGTGAGGCTATGACATGGTTACATCGACAGTGTGAGGCTATGACAAGCTTACAGTGACAGAGTGAGGCTATGACAAGGTTACATTGACAGAGTGAGGCTATGACAAGCTTACAGTGACAGAGTGAGGCTATGACAAGCTTACAGTGACAGGTGAGGCTATGACAAGCTTACAGTGACAGAGTGAGGCTATGACAAGGCTACAGTGACAGTGACAGTGTGAGGCTATGACAAGGTTACATTGACAGAGTGAGCCTGTGACAAGGTTACGTTTACAGATCGAGGATGTGACAAGGTTACATTGACAGTGTGAGGCTATGACAAGGTTACATTGACAGAGTGAGCCTGTGACAAGGTTACGTTTACAGAGTGAGAAGGGTGACAAGGTCACGTTTACAGAGTGAGGATGTGACAAGGTTACAGGGACAGTGTGAGGCTATGACAAGGTTACATTGACAGAGTGAGCCTGTGACAAAGGTTACGTTTACAGAGTGAGGAGGGTGACAAGGTCACGTTTACAGAGTGAGGATGTGACAAGGTTACATTTAGAGAGTGAGGATGTGACAAGGCTACGTTTAGAGAATGAGGCTGTGACAAGGTTACAGTGACAGTGTGAGGCTATGACAAGGTTACATTTACAGAGTGAGGCTATGACAAGGTTACATTGACAGAGTGAGGCTGTGACAAGGTTACATTGACAGAGTGAGGCTATGACAAGATGACATTGACAAGGTATGGCTATGGCAAGGTTACATTGACAGTGTGAGGCTATGGCAAGGTTACATTGACAGGGTAAGGCTATGGCAAGGTTACATTGACAGGGTGAGGCTATGGCAAGGTTACATTGACAGGGTGAGGCTATGGCAAGGTTACATTGACAGGGTGTGAGGCTATGGCAAGATTACATTGACAGAGTATGGCTATGGCAAGGTTACATTGACAGGGTGAGGCTATGGCAAGGTTACATTGACAGGGTGAGGCTATGGCAAGGTTACATTGACAGGGGTGAGGCTATGGCAAGATTACATTGACAGAGTGAGGCTATGGCAAGATTACATTGACAGGGTATGGCTATGGCAAGGTTACATTGACAGGGTGAGGCTATGGCAAGGTTACATTGACAGGGTAAGGCTATGGCAAGGTTACATTGACAGGGTGAGGCTATGGCAAAATCACTTCGTAACATTGACGTTGAAGCCAAACCAATGCTACCAGGACTACAGCCGTGTTGTAGAAGCGAGTTTAAGCTGCATAAGCAACATTTTATAATCAGGCTCTGATATAGATAGGTATCATCGTGCATATCTCCATAGTGTTACCTGCGTGCTCATGTGAAGGGCCCGCCTCCGTGGCGTAGGGATTGGAGCTTCCGCCCGGAGAGTGGAAGGTTGCGGGTTCGATCCCACACCGCGTCATACCAAAAGACGTTAAATTTTGGTACTTGTTGGTCCCTGCCTGGCGCTCGGCATTAATGGGTACATCAAGGACTGGTCGGCTCGGAGTCAGTATAATGTGTCTGAGTGGGGTATTCATGCTTCACTACGGCATGGTATCTCAGTGGGCTAGCACTATAAAACCAGCTTCAGTCTGGGCTAGTACAAGCAGCCGCACCTACACATACACACGCATGCGTCGTCATATGAGCGACGTTAAACCCAATTTCACCTCACCTGACCTCATGGTGAGGGAGATAACGAAGTGCTGTTGGAAGCTGCACATGCGATAACGTTACATAAAGATGGCTGGCCTTGGTCTACTGGTGGTGTTGAGTGTCCTTGGGGTGTCCCGGGCTTTGAACAACGGCCTCGCCCTCACCCCGCCCATGGGTTTCCTGGACTGGGAGAGGGTTCCGGTGTAATACGGACTGTGTCAATGACCCGGATAACTGCATCAGGTACGTGCTGTAACTGGGTAGTGACCTTGTGGTTACTGAGAAAATCTTTAAACATAAAACTTCAATGTTTTAACGTATAAATTATGTTAGATGCAATCCCAATATTAAATACACCATAAAAGCATTATATTTTTAAAGAGGTTCACCGTTGTCGGCCTAAAGGAAACTCTAATATTTTCGATTGAGGTATTTTCTTACTCGCAATTTTGTCATTCAAATTTATGAATAAAATATGTTTAAAACAAACAATGACCAAAACAAGTGTTCATGAAATGTTTAACTGCTTCACAGCACATATCACAAACACATGCAAAGTCAGGTTAAATTGAATGAATCCCAGGAACATATGCTATATATTTGTTAAACAAGTATGGTATTCAAGATATTTTTATGGATTAAACTTCTTTTTAATTTCATTTAATTAATCCATTTAATTTTAATCCATACAAATATCTTGGACATCAATGTACAACTTCTAAATGCCACTGAAAGACAAGTATGGTATTTACCATATGTCCCTGGGTTTCATTTATTGACCGAAAGACTAAGGGATTGAGCACAAATGCACCACTAATGGTCGTCTTTTCCCTTCTCATTGTTTAGAAAGCGATTCATAGACAGTACTCACTATGAAATCGGACTGTCACAATGGACTTTTGAAATGTTTTTGACACCTTAAAGAAGACTTTTCCGGGGAAAATGTTAATAGTGGGGTTTACATTGAGAGGATACCTATTCATATGACATGAGCTTAAATGACATGAAACATAAATTAGAATGCCAATATTACAAGTTAGAAAATACCTCAAACGAAAATAATACATTTTCTTTTTAGGGTGACGGCGAAATATAATACTTGTTTTGCATGGTGTATTTAACTGTAGTAGTGTGGTTGCATCCTTGGTGTATTTAACTGTAGTAGTGTGGTTGCATCCTTCACTCTGGGAAGCGAACGTTTGTTATATCTGAAAGCATTCTGGTTCCTACATTTCCGTGAGACGCTGATGGAGTGATGCAAGCTTCTCTGAGAAGTTATCTGTAAATAGTTGTTTGTCAGTATTATATTAATTGTACCATCAAAGGTGAGACCGACTATCATTACGCTTTAATCTTTCTGGCTTTCCGACAAAGTGAGCATTACTTACTTAATGTTCACCAATGGGCAGCTGTGGCTCTACAGACATGTCTGTGTTTGACAATCTCGATGATCAGGTTTGATTCTTACCTGGGCTAAAAGACGGATAGTTAGCGACGTTGGTATCTCCATGTGCCTTCCTCCATGCATACATATAGGTTACACAAACTCAAATATTATCTCATTTTTTATTATTTTGAAAAAAAATATTCCCCATAATATTTATTTAAAAAAAAAAAAAAAAAAAAAAATATCATCTCATTGACTTCTATAATAACGTTATATATTTTTATAAAATAACTAAGATATCAACAGCTATTACATGTACACGTGCGCATAGTCTGACCTTAAAGAAGCAATAAAAATATAAAACATGAACACCTCATCCTTTTCCAAGTACAGGAAGCTAAACAGACCAACCCCAGTTCCGCACAAAATGTCAACTGCTTGAAGATAATGTGATCGCATTCAGTATAAGTCATCAGCAAGACAGCACTGAATATAAAAAACAACACGATCAGCTTTAATTACTGGTTCGATGTATATTTAATTGTCAAACATCTTACACAAAATCACCCAATCACAGCTGTCAGATAATTCAGTCTGCACTGAAGGTTCAGGACGAAAAATGTGCGTTAAAATATTGATTCTGATTTGGTGTAGTATACAGTAAAAATACTGATCGATGCTTAAGCAATGACATGATTTTTTATCGCCATATTATATTTGGCCGCTTTTGCATGACATATCTCACACCTAGTTAGGGTTGATCTTGATTTTCGTGAGAGGCGACTAACGGGATCGGGTGGTCAGACTCACTGACTTCGTTGACTCATGTCATCGTATCCCAATAGTGTAAATCGATGCTCATGCTGTTGATCACTGGATTGTCTGGTCCAGACACGGTTATTTTCAGCCCGTCGCAATATAGCTGGAATATTGCCGAGTGCGGCGTAAAACTTTCCTCAGGTTCCATGTCAAGGCTAACTATAGGCCGTGTTGTCAACAGCTACATATCATCAAGTTATTAACTATAACGTCATCTCATAAACCACTGACCTAGTCCGTGGTGTTATTAACTCGTCAACTAACTGGGCCGTGTTATTATCTACCGCATAGGTCGCGTTATCGCCCGGTGCAAAAGATAATTCTATTAGCACTAAAATAGGCTATGGTGTCATCAACCAATCGAAAACAAGGTGTTATCGACTGATACAACAAGTCGTGATATCAACCAGTACAACAGCACGCTTGTCGTAAGAGGCGACTAAAGGGATCAGGGTGCCGTTGTACAAAACAACCTTAGCGCTAAGACACCTTAAGTCTATGTTAAGGGAATGCATGGGAGTTGCGGTCACCTTAGCGCTAAGACACCTTAAGTCTATGTTAAGGTATCGGAGTTACGGTCACCTTAGCGCTAAGACTACCTTAAGTCTATGTTAAGGTATGGGAGTTACGGTCACCTTAGCGCTAAGACTACCTTAAGTCTATGTTAAGGTATGGGAGTTACGGTCACCTTAGCGCTAAGACTACCTTAAGTCTATGTTAAGGTATGGGAGTTACGGTCACCTTAGCGCTAAGACTACCTTAAGTCTATGTTAAGGTATGGGAGTTACGGTCACCTTAGGGCTAAGACTACCTTAAGTCTATGTAAAGGTATGGGAGTTACGGTCACCTTAGCGGTAAGATCGCTTTGCGAAACGGCACTGAGGTGGTCAGGATCGTTTATCGCGTAGGTTGATGCTCTAGATCCGGGGCCATATAGCGTTAAACAAGAAAGAAAGAAACACTATTGGTTCCATAGTCGACTGGCTTTGTTTACGGGTGGGAGGTGACGTATGGTTCATCACAGGAATGGTCCTCTTTAGAGTACAACTATTAAAATCACCAAGAATACATTTTTGAGCTTCCGGTCAAAGTGTCTCTAACTTTGGAATCGTGTGGTTGATCATGTCTACAGGGGAACAGATGTCAGGGTACCCACTTATCTTCAGGAGTAGATGGTGGTGTGTGGTCCTGCGCATAGAGCAGCAACGGTGGGCGCGGAGAGTACTTGGATGGGTGACCGTGTTTGGCAACTTGACTCCTGAGAGTTTCTAGGACTTCAGTCCTGCCCCACAATGAGGCACATGTGATATATGTGGTCTCACCTTGGGCAAGTGAGTTTGTTCAAAATTGCCTCTGTTCACCCAGCAGAAAATGGGTACCCGGTGGGATAAGTCATATGACTATTAACCTTTTGTCGCCTCACTGTCAGCTTGGGTTATGCGGGGTAATAATAATCAGATTGTGCGCTTTGAGGCATCCTTATGTTTGGAAATAGCGCCATAGAAATACACTGTTATTTTTATTATAGTAGATATGGGACACGAGAAGCTCGCGGTAGCAGTGAAGGGGTAGTCCGAGGTCTAACACCAAGGCCATGTGTTACTATGATGTTAATGTAATAATAAGAGTAATAATAATAAGAGTACTTTTATCGCTGTATTATCGCCATTGGGCATCTGTAAAGGTGGATATTAGGCGCTTTACAAAGTACTATTATATTATATAGCGCCTCGTCCACATCACTCAGGGACATGCTCTGAGCGCGTAACACATACACAGGTTCTATGTACAGGAAAATTGGTGTATAGATAGATAGAGATATTTCTTGAAGATGTGAGTTGTGAGCTTGGACTAAAGACTTGCAGTGACGGGGAGGTTTTAAGATCCGATGGTAGAGAGTTCCAGGTTGGCAGCAGCATGAGAATATGAATTTGCACCAAAGATTTTGAGATGGTACACGTGGACAAATAGCAAATGTTAATCATTGGAGCGGAGAGACCTTTCCGGTTTGTACAGAGTTATCAAGTCTTGGAGGTATGCTGGTCCAGTGTTATTAATCGACTGATAGACAAGGGAGGGCAGTTTAAATTCAGTCCTCTCGCGACAGCATGGTTCTGTATTTTCTGGAGGCGCTGTAATTGTTCATCAGAGATACCAATTAGTAAACTATTACAGTAGTTAAAACTACAGTTCGAATGATGTAGGTCGCGCTCGTCATTTGAAAAACTATTATTTACATCAACATATTACATTCCAGCGAGAAGTTGTTCATGACGATGGCAGACATACTAGCGGAGGAGGGCTACCGCGACCTCGGCTACGAATACATCGGCATCGACGACTGCTGGCCCTCAAATCTCAGGACGCTGACGGCAACCTCGTGGCAGACCCAGAGAGGTTCCCCAACGGTATCCTCGGTCTCTCTCGATATGTAAGCGTTTAGGTGAATCCCTTGCTCTGACTTTGGTGTCAATAGTCTTTCCTTTTGTTGCACATATTAGTCAGTGATTGAGTGATACCATGGCGTGTCAACGACGTGCGGGAACGCTGCCTGCAATGATAAAGGGTTACACGTTTGACAATTTGAATTTATTTTACAATCGTTACAAGGCTAACAAGACTAAAAACATACTGTCTTATTTGTTTCAGTTGAATCGCCATCTAGTTGAGTATACCATATGTGTATACTTTTGTTTGACCGGAATTTAGAACCATAATCAACCAAATCTGGAATATGGAATTTGAATTAACGATTATAGGTTAAACGCAACCCTCTACAGCAAACTGCGGCTTCTACTATTCTATCCAAGATACATGATGTATGACCCGCGGTCACGAAGGGGGAAACGGTATACTGCCGTATTAGTAGAACCGCGGTATTTTGCCTTCGGTTCGGTATACCGTAATGCAATCCTAAAGTTCGATATGTGCAGTTTTCGTACCGTCGTTGTAGTAACCTTTTAAAACATTTTTTAAAATGTCTAGAAATGGAATCATGTTGTGAAAATCTATGCATTTCTTTGCCAGACGGTCGCTATTTTCCGGGAAGTAAGTTCTCACATATCCAACCCAAAAGGACAGAACCGAAGGCCTTGTACCATATTGCGCACCGTACCGTGGTAGAAGCGTACCGTTTCACCCATAGCGGTCACAATGGGTTTTTTTTAACGAATATCTTAACACGTAAGAGAAATTCCAAAATGCTTCCGTAATGGTTCCACAGATGCTCAACTCCAGTTCTCAAAGATACCTTACTATCTCTATAACATATGTGCATTATTGATCGATTGAGTATATGCTTGACATCCTTTGTATGCTAGCTTCCAGGATTGTTTCCAACCTTCTGTATGGCTGTTTAATGGTAAATTAAATGTAAACGAGATCTCTTATGCTGCCCTGCAAAGGTCCATTCCCGTGGACTGAAACTGGGAAACCGACACATCCTTACCGTTTTGTACCGTGACCATATAATGCCGTATAATGGCAATGTGTATTGGATCTGCCATGTTACTTTTCACAGGTACATTCACGTGGGCTAAAACTGGGTATCTATGGAGACGTCGGTACCAAGACATGCGCAGGGTACCCTGGGAGCCAGGACTACACGAAGCAGGACGCCGAGACGTTTGCAAGATGGGAACTAGACTTGCTCAAGTTTGATGGCTGTAACACAGATGTAAACCGCTCGGCAATACGTGAGATATCAAGCAACAGTTTCACCTGGACTTTGTTTATGCATCCAAGTACAACATAATGAATACTTTTCTAGTAAAACATCCAGTATGATTTTAGTATTCAGCATATCGCCCAGCATAACAAAAAAACAACATTGTATATCACCAAGTGGAGTTTGCAGTCAGGACATTAGGAGACATCGAGTGATCAGGAACTGGTAGTGGTGCATTGTTGTGTTTCAGATTTCCCGTTAATGAGCCAAAGCCTGAACGCGACTGGCAGACCTATCCTCTTTACGTGTGAATGGTTTAGTGCAGACCTGACCAAGGTATGTATATGTCTAAGTCCTACCATGAATTTGGAAAATTACTCGTTTCTAACTGGTCAGCAAAACCTCCCCAAATAACATCTTTGTTAATGGCTAAATTGATGACCGCATTACCGCGACAGGAGATAAATACAGGTTATCAGGCGAATGTGTTTTGGGATGGTTAATATCCTGCATTGGGAATAAACATTGTATTTAGCGAGCCTTGACGAGCGTGATAACCTATTTATCATACAATGTAATTCTAATTTACAATAAAAAAAGCGATTTCAATTGCCACAAATCATGAAACTAACTTCATGGAATGTGCACAGATATCTATGACGTCACAAATATGCGCGTAGTAATACGCTACGTCACAAGCTCGGTGACAATTTCCTTCTGATCACTCAATTGACTGCGTTGGGTCATCTAGTTCCCAGTACGTTTTTATTTTAAAGCAGGTATTGTTGCCAACAAATCTTAGCTTACGTTTGACAAATAACAACAAACTTGCGTGGAACATCAGACATATTAATTACCTTTTGAACAACAAATACACATTACTGTTCGCGGGGCATTCTGCACCCGGATTCCTGTGCCGTCAGCTCGCTAACACTGGCAGTCGGTCGGGGTACTGGTGTTGGTATCTTCGTAAGCCTATGAATTTCTGTCTTCGCTTCGTGATCCACTCCATCTATCGTAACCAGACATGAATTTTCTTGAATCAAAGCACTGGCAGTACCGTAACCACAGCCGTCAATCCGGACTCCATCGCCGACACGCTACGCCATGTTTGTTTACACTGTGAAAGTAGTCCCTTAAATTTGCATATGGCCTCTCTAATGTACATCAATATCCGTATATGACTCCAACGGAAACCGAAAATATCCGTTGGCGTTATCCTGCCGAGAACGCTATCCATTGTACGATAAGGGGAAATACTTCATTGTCAATTGTAATGGTGAACAATAGGAAATAAAGCAGATTACCTGTGATAAAGTGCAGAGCTGAGGTACCATCATTATTCCAATTATGTGCAATAAGTTATTTTGACATAAAACGATCGAAATTGAAAGTATATTTACAGGGTGAATCAGCCTGTCCGTGTGGTCTTTTTGTCTGTCTGGGTGGTCTATCTATCTGTCTGGGTGGTCTATCTATCTGTCTGGGTGGTCTAGCTACCTGTGTGCATGCCACTGGCCTGTATGTGTGTGGGTGTCTGTCTGCCTGGCCGTCTGTGTGTCTGTCCGTCCTCTTGTATGTGTGTATGTCTGAGTTTGTATGTGTGTCTCCCTGTATGTGAGTGTGTCTGTCTACCTGTATGTGAGTGTGTCTGTCTACCTGTATGTGTGTCTGTATCACTGCCAGAGTAATATTTCCACATTTTAATTCATTGTCTGTTTCACACGTTTGTCACGATGGAATTTTGTAAATGCTTCGAGTCTTACCCCGCCAAACCTCATTGCGCCTACCTGTTTCTAGCACTCCCACTACATCAACAACAGCGAGTACTGCAACACCTGGAGGACGCTGAAGGACGTTCAGGACAACTGGCCGTCAGTCCTTGGCATCATCCAAGCTTACGCCCAAAATGTCGGGGACTTCATCTCAGTATCAGGTCCAGGGTCAATCAACGACCCTGATCAGGTGAATATATACACACACAAAACGAGTGATTCAGTCATATCAGTGACCGTCTCTCCATAACTTTCCTCTCCATCTATTTTGCCTCTTTGTGTCTTTCTGTTCAGGGGCGGTGGGGTAGCCTAGTGGTTAAAGAGTTCGCTCGTCACGCCGAAGACCCGGTTCGATTCTCCACTTGGATACAATGTGGAATCCCACTTCTGGTGTCTCCGCCGTGATATTGCTTGAATAGTGCTAAAAGCGGCGCAAAATACAACTCACTCGCCTACTTTCTGAACGTGTCTGTGAAGTTATTGGTGCTATATTTGTTTTAAAGTTTTGTTTCGAAATAGCGAGGTTGGTTGGGTGATATTCGGGGCTCATCTGGAAAGTCATGTTTAAAAAGAACTGACATCCCAACGGTCAGCCTCGAGCAGTTGAGTGAGTGAGTATGGTTTTACGCCGCTTTTAGCAATATTCCAGCAACATCACGGCGGGGTACACCAGAAATGGGCTTCACACATTGTGCCCAAGTGGGGAATCGAACCCGGGTCTTCGGCGTGACGAGCCAACGCTTTAACCACTAGTCTACCCCACCGCCCCCTCGAGCAGTTGAAGGGTAACCAGCCGTCAACTGCCCTCGTGCTCATTCCTCTTTGCACAGGCGGCAATACTGGAATCGTTGACTTCAAACATAGGCCTTCGGATGTTAATATGGAAACAATGTTTGCCATCTGACTTTATTTACGATATCTCAGAGTGGAACTGAGAATGTGTGGAATGAACACCATACAGCGTGACATCACTTCATTCATCTCAAATTGAGGATTTCTAGTCAATTTGAGAAATTTCAAAGAAGATTAAGCTTTCTGTTGCTGTTCTGTATAAATTATATAATTCTATCTAAATGAGATTTATTCCCTCGAAATATTACACATAATGCCATGAATAGAGACTGAGACTTCTATTTGGTGTTTAGCTGATCATCGGGGACTTCAGTCTGAGTTATGACCAGGAGAGGGCTCAGTTCGGGATGTGGGCGATGTTTGCCGCCCCACTCTACATCTCCGCTGATCTGAGGACCATCAGACCACAGGCCAAGGCCATTCTACAAAACAAGGGCGTCATTGCCATCAACCAGGACCCACTTGTAAAGGGAGCCAATATGATAAAAGAGGTGAGATTATTTTGAAAACCAACAAAATGGACACGACTCTTTCCTTAGAAAAAATAGTCGCCCCTAACGTCAACACCAATGACGAATTCATTATGAATTTGGAACAATAATTTGAAAAGAATTTGCATATTCCGTCAAATGGATTTATTTAAATATGAAACACCAGGTATTGACTTCTTTCAGCAAGTGATGTAGTCAATATATATTTATAATTTATATTACAGTGCACCCTGGTTATAATTCCACCCTGGATATAATGCCATGTTTTTGCCAGAACGGATTTCCTGACTATATTATACACTGGTTATAATGCCATACTGGATATAATGCCATTTGCCAAAGATTTTGGAACAAAAAGTCATTTTCCCCTGGTTATAATGCCAATTACACTGGCTGCAGGTAGTATAATACCTTACTTGGTTAGTTGACATGTCTCAAATTAATTGACCAAACACATTAATGCTTTAAGTAGTTTTGTCATCCGAGATAGGATGACACATGTGACAATACACTTCCTGCCACCTACAACAACAAGTCACCTGCAGCCCTTAGACGCTGGGATTATCCAGTCATTCAAGATTCATTACAGGAGACATCAACTCAATCACCTTGTTGATTGCATAGGGCCTCTTACTGTCCTACCTGATTATAATGCCATCCTGGATATAATGCCACGTTTTCTCCTGGACAAATGTGGCATTATAACCAAGGGTATACTATATTTTAACATAATAATATACTATAGTATATTAATAATGTATATATTAGTTTTCACTAATCAAAATTATAACAAAACATAAAACACCATGACGTTTTCAGCAGTTCATTTCGATATATATTGACAGCAGTCGTCATTAAGACAATTCCTATGTTTGAATCCGTTAATCATGTCGTGGTTGTTTGTGTATTGCGCGCGAACGCATCCCAAAATGCGTTTGTAAACGTTTGTCATAAACATTAAAACGATACACGAAAAGTGCATGCAGAAAACGTTTTCCACGTAATGTACCTGCAATGTGTGGGAAACATGAGTAGAGACATCGACTATAAAGGCCAAACCAAATTCATCATTTCATTACAAAATTTACGAAGATAATAAAATGCCAAGATGTAATGCTACTGACCGAAATATCGCCTTTGGACGTTTGGAAGCAGGGAAGTCCCAGTCTGCCGTTGCAAGACACTTCAACGTCCACCACAGCACCATACCTCGATTATGGTATCGATATACTCGCTTCATTTCGATCCAAGATCGTCCTTGAAGTGGAAGACCAAGAGTGACCACTCCTGCTCTGGACCGATTCATCCGGGTGTTTCACACACGTCACCGATTTGCTACAGCCACGGACACTGCGGGGTCAGGTGCCTGGTCTTTGAAGAATTTTGGACCAAATCATCAAAATTCGTCTGAGAGAAGTGGGAATTCGAGCATATCGACCAAAAAGTTGGACCTGTCCTGACGCAGCTCCACCGACAACGATGTATCCAAAGGTGCAAGAGGATACAGGTATGGAACTGGTGAACTGGCGTCTTTGGTTTCACGATGAATCGCGTTTCCTCCTCCAACGACGGGATGGAAGACAACGACATCGACACGAACGTTTTGCGTCGAACTATGTTCGACAGGTGGACAGATTTGGTGAAGAGCGTAATGGTGTGGGGAGATCAGAGCTAGAGGTGTTTCAAGTCAATCTTACACCAAATCGCTACATCGACCAAATCCTGCGACCTCACCACTTTCTAACCGCCAGAAAGAGGTGTTTTAGCACGACAACGCTCGATCCCACACAGGTCGTGTAACAGGTGCCTATCTAGCCAATGCAAACGTCAATGTCCTTCCAAAACGCCTGATCGGAACCCAATCGAGCATTTATCAAACTTAATCGATTTATGTATACTTAAATACGTTTAATAAATTTCCTTATTTTTGGCATGTGCGTTTCTTTTTTAAAGAGTTTAATACAGACATACAAATATAAATATTAATATCGGCAAAACACTGAGCTCCAGTGACGCGTAACGTTTTGTATTCAGGCTACATCCATGAATGGATGAGTGAGGTTTTACAATTACAGGGGCACCAGAAAAATATCCTTAACATACCGAGGTATCGAAGCGAACGAGCGAACGCTTTTACCACTAAGCTTATTACTTTAATCTCAAACATCGTTTTCACAGGAAAACAATGTCTCATATGCATCATGTGTCACTACGAGTGTCTGTCTCTGTGCATATGTGTGTGCCTCTATTGATATTCTCTATTTGTGCTATTAGGTGGGTCTGTCTACGCGAAGACTTACAATGTTCATGTCTGTTGTTTTCAATTGCAGATTCAAAACGTGCAGGTCTGGCTGAAGCCTTTGGTCAAACCCGGCAGTTATGCAGTCGCTTTCTTCAACCCGAACTCTGCTGGCACGCCAACGCGCATGTCCCTGACCCTGGCGGATATCACACTGACCAATCAGAACGGCTATAACGTTACTGACGTGTTTGATGACGTCAGTATGGGAATGTTCAAGCCGAGTGGTCAGTTCAATGTGACTGTCAACCCAACAGGAATTGTGCTGGTCAAGGCGGTTCCTCTTTGAGACATATTAAGATAAAGTCACTGGTGTTTAATGGCTTTTTGAACATAAATTATGAATACGTTCATTAGATGACGGTGGTCAAGGGGGTTGTAACATACTATAGTCTGTTTGCAGTGAAAACGTACCGATGAATTTCACGTTAAACAGAAAAGTAAATCAAATAAAGAAAAATTATGATTGCGAATCCTCATATCTTTACCTTGCCAGTTTAACATAAAAATCACAGAGTTTTATTTAACTTAGGATAAAAGGTGTTTAACAAACGATCATAGTTTCAAATCGATGTAATTGGTTTGTATTACAAGGGGGTATGCACATTAAATGAAGCCCCGAGAACAAGAAGGTAGTCTTAGTTAACGCTCATCACATACCGCACGTGCATTTGTTTCACTGTTCCAACTACTGCGCGTACCCCTGGTAATACATACCAATAATAACGATTTGAAACAATGATCGTTTGTTAAACAACTTTTATCCTAAGTTGAATAAAATTCTGAGATTTAAATGTTCAATTGGCAAGGTAAAATTATGAGCATTCGCAAACTTAATTTCACTTTATTTGGTTTCCTTTTTTGTTTTACGTGAAATTCATCGGTACGTGTTAACTGCAAACAGACTATAGTATTCCAATCGATTCGATTTTGTAAATTTGGTAAATGTATTTATCAGAAATAGCATTCATTCGTGTTCACAATAAAAGCTACTTTAACTGGAACTACCGAGCTTCTGTCGTGATCGTCAGTCAGAATGCAGTGTTTTGTCAGTATTATCTGCTTGGCGGGATTTACAATTTTTACGAATTCTGATTCTGCACGAGTGCATCCATAAACATTTGCGGGCTACATTGTGTTTGTGGAAATGTTTTCTCGTTTCTAGGACCCGTGAATGTCCGGGTTAGAATATTGATTTTCAGTAACCCATGCTTTTCGTAAGGGATCGGGTGGTCAGACTCGCTGACTTGGTGGACACATGTCATCGGTTCCCAATTGCGCAGATCGATGCTCATGCTGTTGATCACTAGATTGTCTGGTCAGACTCGATTATTTACAGACCGCTGCCATATAGCTGGAATATTGCTGAGTGCGAAGTAAAACTAAACTCACTCACTCACTGTTACAGCGAGAGATATAAATGTGCAAACAGATATTAAAATATTCTGTATAATACGATTAAGAATGAACAGTTTTGTTAAGGAAAAATAGCTTTGATCAACATCGATTTGAAGCGTTAATTGGCATGCAAAGAAAGTTTAATACAGATTTGTATTTGAGGGTCGTATTGCAAAGCGTTATTTTACCGTTCGATAGTTTCACCCTCTTCTGAAAGACTCGAGGGCAATCAGTCTGAAGCCATAGGCAAGTCACTATCTCCAGGATAAAGGAAAACAAAAGCTACTGTGCTTATTTAACTGCAGTTCAATGTGATTGCAGGTAAAGGAATGCAAAAGCTACTGTGCTTATTTAACTGCAGTTCAATGTGATTGCAGGTAAAGGAATGCAAAAGCTACTGTGCTTATTTAACTGCAGTTCAATGTGATTGCAGGTAAAGGAATACATAAGCTACTGTGCTTATTTAACTGCAGTTCAATGTGATTGCAGGTAAAGGAATACAAAAGCTACTGTGCTTATTTAACTGCAGTTCAATGTGATTGCAGGTAAAGGAATACATAAGCTACTGTGCTTATTTAACTGCAGTTCAATGCGATTGCAGGATAATGTATGCTATTTTCAAAAGGAACCAATGCAATTCTGTAGAAACCTACAAGTACCTGGCATTGTTGCGCTCACGATACTGCAACTATTGATTTCCCTGCATACACCTGGAAGCATGTAAGGACTGAAAAGTGCATCTACGTGTTCTTGTAGTCATGGGGTTTCAAAATTGCACAGATTAATTTCGAAATGTGACTTGTGTAGAATTGTCGACGAGGAATCTGGCAAACCTTTCGTCAGACGTACACATACTCTTCAGGAATTGTAATGATTATTTGTTTGCCACACTCAGCAATATTCTAACTATATACGATGATATGTCAACCAAGTCAGCAGAGCCTGACCACTCGATCCCGTTAGTCGCCTCTTACGACAAGCATTGGGACCTATCTTGTTTTAGTTGTCTGTCACAGAATAGTGAACATTGAATTCGATACAAATCTTACACAAATTAACGTCACTCCGTGTGTGCAGCCCAATAACAAACGATCCACGAACACCGTGCAGGATCTGATAATTGTACGATTTAGTGCCGTACACACATTCTTGCTGTGTGACATTGCATACACACATGATCAACCTGAAATTATTTTTTAGTTGCTAAATGTTAAGACTGACTGACTGAGTTTGGTTTTACGCCGCTTTTAGCAATATTCCAGCAACATCACGGCAGGGGACACCAGAAATGGGCTTCACACATTGTGCCCATGTGGGGATTCGAACCCGGGTCTTCGGCGTGACGAGCCAACGCTTTAACCATAAGGCTACCCCACCGCCCCCCAATGTTAAGAGCATGTTCCACATCGCCGGAAGTCGTCTGCGTCACCGAACCTGACCACCAGATCCATTAAGACGCCTCTTTCGAAAAGCACAGCGATGAATTCTAACTAGGTATGGCGAAATTACATTACTAACACAAAAAAATCATCTGTATACATTTATCTAAGATTTGTAAACAGATCAGACGACAGCATTCACCCATTGCCCGGAAGTAACATAATCAGCTGATACTCAGGGTGGCCGTAAGGTTGAATTGAGATAGGTGTTGCAGAAGAAATATCGACCGGGACCAGTTTTCAGGTATGTCTGTAGTTTAAAAGGGTGCAGAAACACCCCTTTAGGGCTGTACATTTCTATATAGCGATCCCTGTTGTCCCACAAGCCAACATCTTTCACAAAATGTATAACCCGCCATCTCTGCAAGCCAAAGGCAATGTTAGCAAAACCTATCTCAATCATCACTTTATGTTTCAATAACAAATTTGCCATGATTGTGAAATTAGCTTTCAAAATGGCTGGCACGTAAATAAAGTCGCAAGTCTGAATGAACAAATTTGTAAAATTACGGGAAACATTTTGAAAATTTTGTAAGAAACGATATTCAAGCCCTGTCTTTGTTCCGTGTTCTGCAGTATCCCGTATTTCGTTGAAAACAGCCTGTATTCTGGGTTTCACCTTTCTCCACCAACCCCAGCGAGGTTTCAATTCGTCCAGAGAAGCATTTGCTCTCCGGAAGCTTTTGAGAAGCCATATCTTTTCCCGTGGTTGCGAGTACAGATTCCAAGGATTAATGAGTGTGTCGTCGCCAATCTGTAAAAAACCTTTCACGTCCATGTTCAGTTTCATCGCTTCCACTGTGCATTCATACATATAATACCACCCTCTCTTGAACGCTTCCACATAAATAAAATTCCCGGTTGTGAAGTTACTGACAAATTCCTTAAAGGCCTTTAGTTTCGGTCCACAGTAAATAATGTTTGGAAAGTATGGTCGATACATTACCTCCAAACTCTGTATGTTTTTATAAAATCTTGGAACATTGAATGTAATAATGAGAGCTATATCATCTATGCTCGCGTGTGGAACTCTGATGTCAGTTTCAGGGCACAGGTCTTTCAAATAACTGTAGGCAAATTTGTTAAACAGACCTTTGCTGCTATTTGTTTGTGGGATCTTTATTAGTCCACGGTTGTGCTACGATTCGGCTTGCTTTCTTGAAATTGGCGATGTGGAATTTGATAGCTGGTATTCCTTAACTCTGAAATCCATTCTGTCAACCAAAGGACATCTCTGAAATCAATCAGTTGTTCCGATCCTATTCTATTTATCACATTACCCAAACAATCAAGTAAATCAAATTCTTTGTACATTGCCACGTTCTGAGTAGGGCTGCGATCAAGGTTCTTCTTTCAAATATCTGTTGATTCCGTATTGGTGACTCGTGAAACGGGTATATCCCAACCATTCCATCAATTTCCCACACGAACCTCTGCGTAATCAGATCCCCGAAGTCGACTTCCGTTAGCGGCAGAGCCCAGAATGCATCATACCGGAAGACGGTTATTTCAGAACCAAGGGAGGTAAACGTGTTGCGCGGGAGGAAAACAGGAGGTTGGCGGCTGTCGGTACGAAAATAGTTCAGTTTATCCTGTCTGATACTATTCTTCACACACACCACTTGGTTTGACAGAATTAGGGGATGCACACGCGTGTCGATATAATAATCAAACAATGCATACTCCTTTTCTGGTTCTTCACTCGTCACGTTACATTTGGATATAAAAGGGTCAAGAAAGGTTTTGTTTGTTTTCAGAACTATTCCTGTCTGAGGTTGATGAGCAGCCATTCGTTGTAACACGTGCAGCATGTGGGTGTCAAGTTACGGACAACGCTTATGACCTCTGCGCCGTGAGATATAGCATAAATACAACCCTTCATTTTCCAGCTTTTTCAGTGTCATCTGTGGCGTGTTGAAGCCGTCTCTGCTTAGTTCAGAACACCATGTAAACCTGTGGGGGAAAAAAGTGAGTGAGTAGAAACAAAAGGGCGGGTTGGGATGAGCCCACGACGTTTACAAATTGGTGAAATATACGAACTTCAGACAAACCTAGAAGTGAGTGAGTTTAGTTTTACTTCAGCAAGATCACGGCGTGGGACACCAGAAACAGGCTTCACACAGTTGAAAAAATTCTGAGATTTAAGTGTTCAATTGGCAAGGTAAAATTATGAGGATTCGCAATCCTAATTTCACTTTATTTGATTTACTTTTTTGCTTAAAGTGAAATTCATCGGTACGTTTGTAATAAGTTTTCTGGCGTGTCTGACTGACGCATCTCAGCACTCGTGGCCATCAAATAACCTAGGTTTCACATAGATTACCCATGAACATGTCGAAGATATTTTTCACTTTAAGCGTTCGTACCTGGATATCAGTGTTTAGAGTGGATTGATTGATTGAGTGAGTGAGTATGGTTTTACGCCACTTTTAGCAATATCACGGCGGGGGGACACCAGAAATGGGCTTCACACATTGTACCCAGGTTGGGAATCGAACCCGGGTCTTCAGCGTGACGAGCCAACGCTTTAACCACTAGGCTACCTCAATGCTCTTGGTCAGTGTGGGATCATAATCCTCATGGTGAGTGTGGTTTAACACAGCTTTAAACAATATTTCCCTCAGGCAAGTGACTTTGTTCAAAGTTGCCTCTGTTCACCAGCAGAAAATGGGTATCATGTTGGATAAGCCATGTGACTAGAACCTTCTTGCGCCTAACAGGCAGCTTGGGTTATTCAGGGGTAATAATAATCAGCGCCAGTGAGCAACTAGACAGATGGATACTAGGCACTATGAAAATGAATTAGTTATTGTTATTATATCATGGTGTGTTAAATTGGTGAGGCGGGAACCAGCGACAATACGAACACTGTGAAAGGCAGCGGCGGATAACGTGTCGAGCCAGCGTTTTCACCAGGTCGTTGAAGCGTAAAGTCTTTGGATGGAGAGTCCTTGGATGGATGACCGTGTCTGGCAACTTGACTCCAGAGTTTCAAGGACCTATGCCCTGCCACACAACGATACATCTATGTGGTCACACCTTAGGCAAGTGAGTTTGTTCAAAGTTGCCTGTTCATCCAGCAGAAAATGGGTACCCGGTGGTATAAGTAATATGACTATTAACCTTCTAACGCCCACAGGCAACTTGTGTTATCCTGGGTAATAATCTCCATGGGGCGTGGAGTTAAGCGCTATACGAATGACCAATTATTATATCATAAGTGGCGTCTATTGGAGTCATTGGTATAGAAATTAAAATCATGGGAGTTTCAAGGCACTTGAGGCTGTACCGAATTGTTAAACAAGCCAATGACAGCTTACTTCAGACAGACAAGCAGAGAATAGTTCGGCTGTCTTTTAACCAGTTGTATTACTACATACACAAATGATGGTGCTGTAAATACAGAGGTATAGTTGTTCAGGTAGACTGACTGACTGACTGACTGAGTATGGTTTTACGCCGTTTTTAGCAATATCACGGCGGGGACACCAGGGGCTTCACACATTGTTGTGGGGAATCGAACTCGGGTCTTCGGCGTGACGAGCCAAGGCTTTAACCACTAGGCTACCCCACCGCCCCTGTTCAGGTAGAAGTTGTATAACAATACATATTGTACCTGCAGTGCTCCATTGTCTCCTTGGTGTTAGGAAGTAATATTACTTTCCACCCAGACACGGCTGTGACATCTGAGGAATCGATGACGTTACAATCCATTTCTTATGACGATCGATATGAAACTTAAAACAAAAACAATATATCTTTCAAAATTGTGTAACAGTAAAACCTGATACAAGAGAAGCATAAGTTTGATTTCAGGGGAGTTTACTATAACGCAGCACGCACTGCTGACTGCTAGTCACCTGGTGTTTGATGCGGCTATACTTACTGGTGTGTGATGGAGCTACATTTACTGGTGTGTGATGCATCTATACTTACTGGTGTAATGATGGAGCTATACTTACTGGTGTGTATACTTACTGGTGTATGATGCAGCTATACTTACTGGTGTGTGTGATGGAGCTATACTTACTGGTGTGTGATGCAGCTATACTTACTGGGGTGTGATGCGGCTATACTTACTGGGTGTGTGATGCAGCTATACTTACTGGTGTGTGATGCAGTTATACTTACTGGTGTGTGATGCAGCTATACTTACTGGTGTGTGTGATGCAGCTTACTGGTGTGTGATGCGGTTACTGGTGTGTGGTGCGGCTATACTTACTGGTGTGTGATGCAGCTATACTTGCAGTTATACTTATGGTGCAGCTATACTTACTGGTGTGTGCAGTTATACTTACTGCAATACTTACTTACTGGTGTGTGTGATGCAGGTTATAGTAACTTGGTGTGTGATGCAGCTGTACTTGGTGTGTGGAGCAGCTATATACTTACTGGTGAACGATGCAGCTATACTTACTGGGGTGTGTGATGCAGTTATAGTTACTAGTGTGTTGATGGAGCTATACTTGGTGTGTGCGCGGCTATACTTGCTGGTGAGCGATGCAGCTATACTTACTGGTGTGTGATGGAGCTGTAACTGGTGTGTGGAGCAGCTATACTTACTGGTGAGCGACGCAGGTATACTTTACTTACTGGTGTGATGCAGTTATAGTTACTGGTGTGTGATGGAGCTATACTTACTGGTGTGTGTGATGCGGCTATACATGCTGGTGAGCGATGCAGCTATACTTACTGGTGTGCGTGATGGAGCTATACTTGGTGTGTGATGCAGCTATACTTACTGGTGAGCGATGCAGCTATACTTTGCTGGTGAGCGATGCAGTTATAGTTACTGGTGTGTGATGCAGTTATAGTTACTGTGGCGATGCAGCGTATGTTGTACAGCTATACTTGCTGTGTGTGATGCCGCTATTCTTGCTGGTGAACGATGCAGCTATACTTTCTGGGTGTGTGATGCAGTTATAGTTACTGGTGTGTGATGCAGCTATACTTACTGGTGTGTGATGCAGTTATAGTTACTGGTGTGTGATGCAGTTATACTTACTAGGTGTGTGATGCAGTTATAGTTACTGGTGAGTGATACAGCTATGATTGCTTGCACTGGTGTGTGATGCAGTTATAGTTACTGGTAAGTGATACAGCTATACTTACTGGTGTGTGGTGCGGCTTTACTGACTGGTGATGCAGTTATAGTTACTGGTGTGTGATGCAGCTATACTTACTGGTGTGTGATGCAGCTATACTTACTGGTGTGTGATGCAGTTATACTTACTGGTGTGTGATGCAGCTATACTTACTGGTGTGTGATGCAGTTATACTTACTGGTGTGTGATGCAGTTATACTTACTGGTGTGTGATGCAGTTATAGTTACTGGTGTGTGTGATACAGCTATACTGGTGCGGATATTACTGCTGTGGTGTGTGATGCAGTTATAGTGACTGGTGAGTGGTACAACTATACTTGATGTGTGATGCAGTTATAGTTACTGGTGTGTGATGCAGCTATACTTGCTGGTGTGTGATGTGATGCTTATAGTTACTGGTGTGTGTGTACAGCTATACTTGGTGTGTGGCGCAGCTATACTTGCTGGTGAGCGATGCAGGTATACTTACTGAGGTGTGTGATGCAGTTATAGTTACTGGTGTGTGATGCAGTTATACTTACTGGTGTGTGATGCAGTTATAGTTACTGGTGTGTGATGCAGTTATACTTACTGGTGTGTGATGCAGCTATACTTACTGGTGTGTGATGCAGTTATACTTACTGGTGTGTGATGCAGTTATACTTGGTGTGTGGCGCAGCTATACTTTTACTGGTGAGCGATGCAGTATACTTATTGGTGTGTGGCGCAGTTATAGTTACTGGTGTGTGATGCAGTTATAGTTACTGGGTGTGTGGTGCAGCTATGCTTGGTGTGTGGCGCAGCTATACTTGCTAGTGTGTGATGGAGCTATACTTACTGGTGTGTAATAGAGGTGTACTTACTGATATGTGATGTGCTGTTGATGATGGTCCGACCCAACGTACTGTAGTGAGATACTGTCCGACCAGCTGTCGTACACAGACACCAACAGGAACAACACTACCACCACCGAGACGAACAACACCTTCGTATCTGACAAACAGTTTAAGTAATACGATAAACATGTGCGTGTAGCAGTCAATTAACTTGAAACATAAGACAACAGCTATTTGCCAGTCAGGGTGGCTATGTTCCCCGCCTCCAACAGGATGGTAAAACGTACAAGGATAGAGACATTTCCAACGCTGGAACTTTACAAAATGCTTGACCCTAGCAAGATTTGTGAATACATTTTGGTGAATGATAACATTCTATCTCGTGGACTGAAAGGTGAGGAGGGAATTAAAATTGGAGTTTAACGTCGTGCTTGAGAATATTTCATCCATATGACGACGTGCATGCGTGTCTTACATGCGTACCGTGCGGCTTGCTTGTACTAGCCCAGACTTCTGAAGCTGGTTTTATAGTGCTAGCCCATTGAGATACCACATGCCGCAGTGAAGCATGAATACTCCCACTCAGACACATTATAATTGACCGGAGCCGACCAGTCCTTTGTTGTACCCATTAATGCCGAGCGCCAGGCAGGGACCAACAAGAACCTTTTTTAACGTCTTTTGGTGCCGGGCGCAGTCGGGGATCAAACCACGCCGAGCTTCCGCCTCCAGGCGGACGTCTGCTTTCACACACACTACCACGGAGGCGGTCCGTGGACTGGAAAACATTTATGAAACGGTCTTGAATGTTGGCCTTGCTTTGAGTAAAAGTACAAAAACATATTGGTAACAATATTTGGGGTTTTCTGAGAGTGAGTGAGTGAGTGTGGGTGGTTTTATGGCGCTTTTATCAATATTCTTAATCTAACCATATGGTTTGCTTTTAGCATATGTATCCCGTCTAGTACCAATGAAGAGGCGTGACGAGCCAACCAGGGCCCCACCGCCCCTACCCGTCTAGGCGGGCCTTTGGCCCGAACACCTTACCTGCCTGGACACCTGTTATGTCAAGAAATATCACTAGAAATCGAATCACTATCAGATACAAATAACAATATCCATGTATATCTTTTTTTTTTAGAACCAGTTATATGCAGAAGTTCTACAAATAGTTGATAAATGGCAAATGTTCTCCATGACCTTGAAAATAAGGTCAGGGTCAAGTTATCAACTTGGGTCGATGTGTTCCTTTAAGGGCATTTGGAACTTAATCCTAATCCTAATCCACGCTGAACCTAATCCACACTGAACAATACACGGATGTAGGATTTGTTTACATTTTACTCCAGGTATATATTGGATAGAGCTGTACTGTGTCATCGATACGTCATTGTAAGTTGTTCACTGTTCACGAGGAGGGCATCGGTTTATGCACCCTAAACAAACATCGAGGTACATCAACCCATGGGCTGAGGGACCAGTGAACAACGTATTTATCTTACCGAACACCTTAATGTTAATTTTGAGATTGTTTGAAGCACGGGTACAAATCCTTTTGTAGCCATCGCTAGATTACAGCTGACAAAGAAAAACATTCGTCACCACTCGCCCCTTTCCGTAACCTCCAAGAAGACGGCTTGTCCCGGAATAACACGAGTTGGTCACGAATGAAGAAAAACAGACTAGAGTTATCTCCCTTCCATCGATTTGCATTCGCAAAACATCAGTAATTTCCGTACATCATACGTGATTCAATGTTATTCGAGATAAGAAATTACTACCACGAAGTACCAAATGAGTTGCCATTGACAGCGGGGTACATTGAAAATGGGTTTCACACATTGTACCCATGTGTGGGGAATCGAACCCAGGTTCTCGGCGTGACGTGCGAACTCTTTAACCATTAGACTACTCCATCGCCCTGAATCTTCACGAATCCACAATGTGTTTTAAATTGCAATACAACAGCTGCCCCGCAGCAGTCGTGAATCAAATAGCCCCAATGAAGAAATCACACAGCCTTACAATATGCTGTATAAAATGCACTTACCTGAAAGTGACAACATAGCAATTCGTGCGCTTCGTCCTCGAGGGTTACCTCTTCCGATTGAGAATTTACTGACCACGTTCAAAGTCAAGGGGATTTCCGAAGGATCAAATTTCTCCGGCCAGACACTAAATATTTTTATCACAACACTTTTTTGAAGATATCACCTTTTTTGAATGAGACTTTTGAGATATCGATGTCACAATAGTAGATACGACATAAAATGTTTATGGGTCTGTGAACTGACGTCTCAATTCAGTATTTCCCTTTCGGGTCTCAAACTGAAATAAGCATATGCGTGTCTCGAGCATGGGAAAAGCGTGCGTGTCGTGTGCACTTTCGGTGTCGTGGCGAAATCGTAAAGTTTTCACTTCAGCACGTTTTGACGATGGCGGTAATGAACTGACAAGATGAATGCAAAATACTTAATTATGTACATGTATATAAAATCAACTGCATGAGTGTTTTGTATGTTTCTACAGACATTTTTTCTCAGATAAAAGCGACAAACGCATTTTCCTTTCCAGGATGTTTTACAGAATCTGTTCCTGTTGCATCGTGGATTGTTTATTTACAGGATACGATTCCATTACTATCACGTCATCACTATTGGTGGGAGTAAACAATCAAATAGATAAACCATGGAAATTACGTTATGACAATGTTACAGTGTCATTTTGATGGAACGATAATGATAATGTTACAGTTACAGAGG